CTGAATCTGCATTTAGCTGTCAATAATTCTAGTCAAAAAGGAAGATCATCAGCCCCTCTCTAACAGCATAAATACACACATTCAAATTCTCGAGGCTTTGTGATGAATTCTTGGCATGCTTTCTTTTCCCTAGCAATTTCCAAAGAAAATGAGCAAGAAGTTCAAGAAAAGAGTTTATAAAATTGTGGGCTACCCAGTATTTAGTGCATAACCTTAATTACAGAAGTATGTGGAAAAAAAGTCATGGTATGTCAGGGCATACCAGCAACTCTAAAAAGCTTGTGGCACACTTGACCTGAAATCAGTACCTTCAGACTGGGTATGTGGAAGAGAGCACATTATTTCTGGAAACAAGCTGAATCCTTATACTTGGCTGTTATTTTCTTTTTTATTTCTTCTAGTCAGTTTACCAGTAAAGCATGTTGTGTGTATGTTATGTTTACACTTCAGAGGAACAAAATCCTGAAGTGATGAGCCTAATAGGATCCATTACTAAAATCCTGAGAACATTACAGCTGGAAATCTTTTGGAGTAGCTTGCTAAGATTTTTTTTTCTGCAGAGCTATCGATTTTCTTTCATTTTTCAAACTGGGAGTCTTCACTTAGAAGTAGAAAGTCTGAAAAGCATGCTGAATCATAGGCCATGTACCATTTCTGCTTTAGTGCACAATATGCCACTGAGAAAGAAATAAAATGACCTCACTTGCTACCGTGTTAAATAAATTAGAGATCTGCATGACCTATTGTCTCCAAACCAAGGCAGTGCTAAAAGCAGGAACTCCCAGCCTTTCTTCTTCCCCGATTTTATGCACACTGCTGTTTCTAGACCTCTGCCTATTTCCAGTTACTCCTGCTTGTACATTTAATAAAGTATATTTGTTGAAATACATTTATTAGAATGTGTGGTCAATTAAATTACTTTGTGTCTTACAACAAACACATACAGTACAATCAGAAGATGGCAAGTCATTGTCGACAGCTTCTATACTTTTTTAAATGGAAAAAGTATGAGTATTCTTAGTTTTACAGTGTTCATTATTTATGCAGTGAGTCAAAGAATGTAGAATTTTATCATCAAAGCATAGGAGGAAATCTCTGAGCTTTACATCAAAATCCACTGAACAGAAAAAAGTCCTCTCTGCAGCAACAAATGTCAGGCCACCTTTACAGAGGTAAGCAAAAGTATTGATGTGTGGAAAAATTCAATGAGACTTGCATCTGAAACCCAAAGTAGAATGTTTTAAGAAAATGTGGTTTATATAGATCTGAGATGTAACAAGCATAAACAGGATTTTCACATGTCATAAACTCTAGTGTGGTAAGAAATGTCTGCCTGCATTGATCGGAACCAGAATGCACGGGATGCACGCACATTGTTTCTTTGATTCAAGTGCCTTCAGCCAGCATTCTCACCCTCTTTGCATGAACTGAAGGATCTTGGATACAGCTGTAACATTATGAGAAAGCACGAAGAAAAGTAAGGAAGGTGCAGTCTACTAACCATCAATTCAGAAGAATAGCTAGGACAGCAAGTAGCCATTGTTACTTGAGTATTACCTGCAAGCTTCCCACTGAATATCAGTTAGGCTGATTGGTTAATGTAAGGCCACACAGAGTCCTAAAGCTTATTCTAGGATTAATTAATACCTGCATCCAAACTTCAGGTTATTAAAAACAATGCACAACAAGCCCCTGAGACCACAAATCTGTTACTAAGCAGAAGTCACACAAGCTCTGATATTGACAAGCTCCTCAGAACTTGCAGAGTACAAGACTTTCAAGGTGGTCTACCAACAAAACAAAACAAAAAAAACCAAAACAAAACAAAAGCATTTTTATGCCTTGTCAGACCCTTGCACAGAACATAACACAATATTGCTTCGTGTAGCCCTGTGTATAGAAAACTGTCCAAGGCTAAGCACATTATTCCATAATTATATTCTTCAGGGTTTTTTTTTTTTCCCATTCCTTTGATCATTGTGTCTCATCAATTGTAACTACTTACTGAAAGGAAGTGAAATAGGAAATATCATGCTTTTCAATTGTCTACAAGAATAGCAATCAACACATAGGTATGTAAATATTCCCCCTTTTGTTTGACAGTCTTCAGTATTAATGAAAAGATTAACCTTCTTGCAGATTTAGTCAAAGAAAACCCAAAGCAACATTCCTACATTTGCTATCAATAGCCAGAATAAAAAGAAATGTACAGATTAAAAACTATATCTTTCCTTCTTCTTTATTTCCCCCAAATCCCTCATATAATCCCTGTTGCACAAAGCATACATATAAAAATGTATAAAATGACCAAGTATGGTTTAATGTCATTTAGCCTATAGCAAGGCTGCAAGCCAACTTGGTAACCCTTGACTATTCTCAGGCAAACCTATTTTTCTTACATTAGTCTTCACTTTCCAATGAGTAACAAAAGGGAGAATTGCAATGTTATCACTCCATTTAGAGCACAGCATTCATCAAACCAACCAGGTTTCTTGGTGAACTGCACAGCCCCAAGCACGCAGTCCCTCAAGGTGCTGGTCGGGGTGAATGAGCTCATTTACACCAATGAAGTTGCTGGATTTAGACCCACTTCATACACCTGGATTAGTACTCATCCCTTTGTATTGCTTCACTACTTCAATGTGATATATCATAAATGTAGTCAGGTGAGTGATGCCTCAACTGACATTTATATTCCCAAAAGCCTGTAGATGGAATAGGAGCAAGCCAAAGTTAATTGAAAAGAGATTTCTTATAAATACTTATGAGAAGTCACAGAACAAAGTACTCTCAAGTGACTTATCATTCCAACGAGCGGTTCTTCAAAACGAGCTTCCATCATAGAGCAATGGTCCCAGCTTAATGACAACAAATAGCTAAATGTGAAAAGATATAAGGCTTATAAGTATGTGAAATTATTTGATACTTTAGTTGAAAATATAATCTCTGCTTTGATTTTGCATTAACCAGATCAGTTTTTAAGGAATAATGCCTTAAGTTTGCCTAGTTATTTGAAGAATAAGATTGTTGAAACTTTAAGTGTTCACCATGGGGTCTCAAGTAGACTTTATTTCATTCTTGATCTCTCTCTAGATGTACTAAACCCACTAAACTCATTCCATTTATGCTGTGTGAAATCAGAATAGTAGATCACGTCTAGAATAGACTCTATTTTCATTAGCCTTTCTAACCCGATGTCTCATAAAAAGAGAACAGCAAAGGCTGGACCTTACATGCAGCATTGTCACTTATTGGCATGTGGGTATTTCATCAAAAGCAGCAGCAAATTATGACTTCATTAACAGATGAAGTTCTATTCTTCTATTGAGAAGCTTTTATACCATAGTGCCAAAATACTGTGTGCCACTAATGTGAAAAAATTATCTTCCGCATCAGACATACTGACACAAAAAAAAACTTTAGTTGTCAGTAATAGAGAGGTAGATCCTAGAACACTTCTACATTATTCCTGAAACTTAAGACGCACCTCTTTTTAAGAAAGGGGGAAAAAAAAGGTGGAAAGTAGACAGCAATAAAACTACAAAAAAAAAAAAAACCAAAAACTTCAGAACCCAGCTGCAGAACCCAATAGATCTTGATCCTGGTAAGATGCTCATGGATAGAGCAGCATATGGAATTTAATGCAATTTATTGCATGACGACAGCAATAAAACTACAAAAAAAAAACCCCAAAAACTTAAGAACCCGGCTACAGAACCCAATAGATCTCGATCCTGGTAAGATGCTCATGGATAGAGCAGCATATGGAATTTAATGCCATTTATTGCATGACCAATTAATCTGGAAAGGAAAACTCCAACCCTAATTCTAAGATAGCTTCTGATTCCTTCAGAAATTCTGGAAGTGTAGACAGCTCACTGAAAACACCATGCCAAATTATCAAATGTATCAAAAGCTTACTGGTTAAGGAAAACAGGAGTAAACACTCAGAAATCAGTCTACACTGAATATCATCAATTAATATTGAACCTGAGAGAGGCTAATTAGAAATCTTGCACAGGGCAGACATAAAACCACAATCCCATAACACAAGACTGAATAGACTGAAAACTAATGCTTAAGCATGGCTACAGAAGACAAAGGTCTTTAGAACTGACAGGACTTATAAGAAATGATATATTGTTCCTTGCAAGAGGAAATGGACACTTGTCAAGTTTAATATTGTGAAGAGAAAGTACTTCCGTATACCCTTCAAATTTAGTTTTGTCTCTTATTAAACAAGCAGAATTAGTTGAGCCTCGGCCACAAGCAGATCACTACTCATCCCTTTTAGTGTATGTTTAAGCAAAGGTAAAAAGTAACATTTCCTGTCTAGATGGGGGTTCAATATGAGCACATGTGTAAACATATACATTTGCACCTAAAGCCACACCAACTCACTCTCCTAAGTAGGCAGTGGTGAGCATCTGAGAGCCACTTCTACTTTATATCCTTGGTTGTGCATTCTAGGGAAGCACTGGCAGTAACAGGACGCACAAAATTACTTTAAGGCCTACCATTAAAAGAAATGTTTTCAGTATTATGACAAAAGCTACTGAAAAGCTTCTGCAAGCTTTCAATTGCTCAACAGTAATCTTGGTTTTTAATGACCTTCTCACCAATAGGGCTTTACATGGAATATTGCAATATTTTCCTTGTCAATTCAAAACAGGCAAGGAATGGGATTCTTGGTAACTTGTTATTTACATTTTGAGACAATCCTTTTGTAGAGAACATGCAAACACATAATGAAACGAACTACTTAGGAGTTAGCTGATTGATCTCAGTGCTTTTGCATTACAAAATACTTCAAAATACTCAAGACACCAAAAATAAAAGATTAAGAGGGCCTTTTCAATGGATTTGTAAATTTAAGATTAAGTTAATCAAATCTGAACATGGCAAGAGAATGTTTCTGTGTGACAGCACAAGTGTTTACATCCATGAAACCAAGTGTTCATGCAGAAAATACCTTAACAAGAAACCTTCAAAAGACAAACTTTTGGTAGCATACTCATAATTTATTTCAATTAATCCACAGTCAAATTACAGCAGTTTTTGTTAGGAAACCTGTTTTAACAAATGGTGAGATGTCTGTTTCAACATAATCATTGAAAATCTATCATTTAAGCCATTGCTTGTCTCAATTCTACTTCCAAGACAATACTCAAGAGGTGACAAATCATCCACCCAGGAAATTAAACCGATGTTTAATGTCAGTTCCTGGCACACGTTGTCTCATCCCTGTAAAAGAAGTACTATTTAAATTGCAGTCAGCATTATGCACACACAAAACAGGCAACTGCTCGAAGGCTGAGCTACATGAGCCTTCTACATGACACTAACCTTAGGCCAGGGCCATTTCTCAAAAGAAATTACTTTGTACAGGATGGGATTTGCTTTTCCCATACCATTAGTATGAATTCCATTCCAAAGGACCAGCTACATTGGAATAAGCAGACCCAGAACTATCATTGGCTTTCCTCTGATTTTTTGCTATTTGTTTTTGGTTAGATCTATATAAAGTTCTACCAGTTACGACACAAGATTTTCACCAGTCAAAGCTATTTTGCTTTCTTTTCCATCAAGGAGTAAATTAAACTCCTTCAGGAATAGAAGGCAATGCAGCCACTATTATCTGATAATCCTATTCACAATTACATCCCTGGAGATCAAACAATTTACAATAAACTCTTCAGTTGAGACATTAATCACATAGGTTCACAAAGCACAATGATTTGAGAAACCTGTGATATTAAGATTCATAAGAGGACAGTTCCAAATCTTTTTACAAACTATTAATAAGCTGATTGGCAGCTTCCTGAAGTTGAGCAGTTATACAAATGTGTTCCTCCTAAGCATGATCCAAAGAAGAGTTTCAACCTCACCTCTGGGTTTGCGAGAGAACTTTTATACCCCTCTGTGTTGGCCACTTAAGACACTGCCAGACTTAAGAGGGCAAAGCATAAAAGGGGAGTAGATTTTAATATACTGTAGTGGTTTCTTATCAACTAAGATGATCTGAACTTACTATTTGCTCAAGAGATTCTACAACTTGTTTGAAACTTCTAAATTTTTAAAGAGCAATATTAAAAACCATTGGCAATTGTCATTAGATGAGAGCACTTACCTTCCAGTAGAAGGCATTATTAATTCCTAAGAAGTCCTGAGAACTGCTTCACATTTAGGTGTGACTACCCATGTCTAAAACATTTCAAGCATGAGGTTGCTATGTGAGGCCTCTAAACAACACACAAAAAAAAAAAAAAAAGTAAAATTATGATTAATACTGTTGAACTGAAGTTAAAACTCTAAAATAAAGTTTATTCTACACAGTTGCTACTATGTTGTTAAACATTTAAAAATTAATTTTCCATGGAGTGGCAAAAGTCATTTACAAAAAGTTCATTATAAAATCAAAACCTAGAGCAAATGGTAATTACTGGTTCAATCTGTTGATAAGGCATGTTTATTAGCCCAGTTAAGCTACATAGAACGTATTTTTAACATTTTTTAAAATATACTTTTAATCATAAGCAATGGAAAGTTTATTAAGCCTAAATTCCTTTCAGTGCTGACACTACCGAGGTAAACTATAAACATGTAGATTTGACTGAATCTTTGCCAGATTCAGTCATTGCTACCTTGTGTCTACTCACAGATATATACATAAATAGTGTACTTGTTACAAATTATACAGCATTCAACCAAGAGACATCAGTGGACACTGTTACAGCTGGAATGGAAGACTGCAGGGAAAGCCCAAGACAGAGTTTTTTTTTGTTTGTTTGAACAATTATTAAACCCATTTAAGCCCAAGTCTAAACATCACAGATTATAATTGCAATTTTCTTGATGTGGCCTATAAAAAATCTAAATTAACGCAGTGATTCAGATTTAACGTTTGTGCAGCTCAATAGCTGCGATTCAAAATACAGAAGAGTGCAAATGTAGAGAGTTATTTTGGCTCAGAGACACAGGGCAGCACCCCATATATCTGTTTAGTCTTTTAGTCTCAAGACTCAAAGCCCTCCACTTCTGAAGCCCGAAGCCTTTTCTTACCAGCCGCAGGCTGCAGGAGGAGCGCTCAGCTCGGTGCCCCTCACCCACAGGCGTCCGAAGGCCTGAGCGCAGATCGCCAGCGCTGCTCCCCGCCCAGGCCTGCCGCGCCCGGCCTGCTGCCCGTCGGGGGCATTTGAAGGGCTCGCCGGTTCCTCGGGACACACTGCGGAGGGAGAAAGGCATCAGCCGGGCAGCAAGGGGACCGCGAGGGGGGAATGGAGGGACGGACCGTTTGTGCCTCACGACAGGATGCAGGGCGGAGGGAAGGGCTCCGCACTGGGTTTTAGTGAGGGAAAGCTGCTCTATCCCCCTGTGTTGACTCCCCGGAGCACCGCCAAGCTCCGAGAGGGCAAGATGTGAAGGGAAAGCCGCACAGGTTCCACCCCCCAGGCCCAGAGCCCGTCCGTGCGGAGCGCGGGCGGTTTCCCTGAGAGCGGCCGCAGCCAGCTTACCGCGCCCCAGCCGGCCGACAAAAAGGAAGAACGGCCCCTCACCGGCGCTTAAATACCGCCCAGAAAAAAGCTCCCGCGAGACCCACGCGGCTCCGGCCGCCGCTGCCTATTGGCGAGGACAGCGCGCGTGACCTCGCGCGGGCGGGGTGGGGCGCGGCGGGGTGGCCGAGGCGGAGGGCGCGGGCGCTGCTGCGGAGCCTCGCCATGGCCGCGCCTGAGGGACCGGCCCGGTTGCTCAGCTGTGCTTCCTGCGGCGGCACCCGTGGGTCAGATCAAGGCTGTCGCGGGGACGTGCTCGTCCATTCCTGCCCAGGCCGAGTTCTGGGTGCCCGGAGATGTTTAACACCGGGAAACAAAAGTGTTTTCGGTGCGAAGTGGCAGCTGTGTAGCGGGCTTGAGGCACTAAGTACCGCTGATCTCTGTCTAAACTCCTGTCTAAGCCCTGCTTAGGAGGCTTAGGAGCTGTCTGTGGGGATGGTGGGGTAAAGCCGCGGGGCTCGCTAATGCCCTGGCCCATGGCGCGGTGGGGCCAGGCCTGTCCTGCGGGGCAGCGCCAGCACGGGCACAGCGCTGCTGCTCTGCTGCCCCAGGTAAAACGGGCTGCTGCCCGGGGGTGCTGCTAAGAGGTTTTGGAGTGAGTACGAGCAGATTAGCATAAACAGGGAATTGGTAGTATGTACAGAGCCTTTGTATATTGCCCAGCAAAGCTGGTGGGTAGGAATCACAATGTGTCATACTGAGGTGGAAGGGACCCGTCAGGATCTTCGAGTCCAACCCCTGGCCCTGCACAGGACACCCCAAGAATCACACCCTGTGCCTGAAAGCATTGCCCAAACTGAATTGACTGGAAATCCCTGCTTCTCAAATAGGTGTGTATGTTGTGTTAATTCATACCTTCCTGTCTCAGTGAGAAACAATATTTCCTGGCTCATGCCGAATTACTACCTGCACAGCACCTGTAAAGTGTGTGGAAAGAAAATGACGAGCTGGCCCGCTATCCCTAATCTGAACCCTGCATTTAAATGACTCTCAGCAGAGCTAAAGCAATCTGATGCAGCCAGAAACAGTCACATAGTTGCAATCAAAGGATGATTCTAGAAATTGTTTCCTACTGCTTCTAGTTACCTCTTCTGTCTTATTCTTTATACTCAAAACATTGTTGCAGATTAACCCTGTGACAGTTTATTGTCTGTACATCAAGGTCTACAACCTGTCTTAGGACTCCAAGTAAATCAGTCTCTGTAGATAAATTTGTGAGGCATGTAATTTTAAGTTATTTCAAGTGGGCTCCTTTGCAATCACTATTTTCTACAATCAGACACCTAAGTGAGATCAGTCCTTTTCCATAATGTAGTCAAAAAAATGAAGTGGCATTCAACCTTTAAATTTTTAGCACTTATGCCAGTGGGATTTATGTCAAGTTTGGTTTCTTCTTTTCCAGTACAGAATGTAAACTGGCACTTCTGTTACACAAAAAACCAGCAATCCACAGCAAACCAGTGATCAGTATCCATCCTGGTTGAACATTTTAATCATTCACACAATCCTACACCTTTTTCTTGCCCTTCACAAGCTTTCTTCTGTTTTCCCATACAATGTTTGTATTGTTTGCCTTCTCTCTGGCTCCATGAAACTTTTGTGTCTGATAGTGGCACTACTTCAAGAAAAGAAATGCAGCGTCTACCTGACCTGCCTGTCCTTTTCCGAACCTTCTCTATAGAATAAAATAACTGTCCTTTAATAAATTACTGCAAGGATCAGATGTGGATTTGAGCCTCTTTACTTGCAGGTTAGTTCTCCCATTTCCTGTTAAAATGCTATAACCACTAAGTTGCTGCCTACAAGGCTACAGGCAGATCTGCTGTTTCCATGTCTGTGGGATGTAACTTTTATCTGAATTAACTTCTCAGCTGGGCACTGAGTCTGCCTACAACCTGGGTACTTTGGGGACTTGAGGGAAAGACCACAATATTGGTGGATCTGGGTACAGGCTAATTTTAAGATTACCCTGGATCATTCACTAACTGGAAGAAATACAGGCCTGGTCATGAGCAGAATTTGTAGGAAATCCAGTTATCATGGGGGCATTTTGAAATTTATTTAATGGCAGCAGGGTGTCTTGGTTATTTTGTGTTGAGATTTTTAAGGAGTAGGATGAGCTGAACTAACTTCTTCAAATCTTGAGGAGTGGTGCTCTAATTAGCCAAGTCTCTCTTTGTCACATGCATGAATTAAATCCCAAAATCACTGCTTTGATGCTTCTCACAGAAGAAAGACTCTTGAAAACAACTTGTTTAACAACATCAGGAGTTTGCCACAATGTGTAACTGTAATAAAGGTTTCGCTTCAATTTTACTGTCTTCCTCCACACTGAGTTAGGAAAATCAATGAAGTAAAACCTCATTGTGACCATCAGTCTTTGCAGGTGAATTACCTGCAAAGTAGTATAAGTATTGAGTAGCATTAAATAATTGTCAGGTTTGGAATCTTAGAATGTAATAGCCTTTTATTTATATTTATACATATATATGTGTGCGTGTGTGTGCATTTGTGAGTGTGTGTGTGTAATTTGGTTAAAACTTTGAGATGTAATGTAATAAAAGTGCAATTTAATTAATTTATATGCAATTTAATAAAATGTAAAGGCTATTTTAAATTCATGCTGAAAATAGACTAAATGTCACTTACAGCTTATCTGTCCTTTGGGGTTTTTTTGTCCTCAGAATGCTTGTGAGTTAAAATTGGAGCCTGTAAAATAGAATAAAACTAATAAATAAAATCTTTGGAGAAGAAGAAGGCAAGCCAAAATCATTATTTCCTTTTCAGAGGCAGAAATACCAATATATTTCTGTTAAAAACATCCGTTTTCTGGTATTTTGGTTTTTTTTTTTTTTTTTTTTTTTTTTTTTTTTTTTTTTTTTTTTTTTTTTTG